GGGGGGGGGGGACGACAACGACGACACACACTGTCTCCGCTCCCTTGCTTGCTGAATCACAACCCTATCCCTGACATAGTACAGATGGGGAAACTGAGGCACCATGACCCTGATGACTGGTCACAGGCGCATGCGAGCGCACGCGCACACACACACACACACACACACACACATACACGCACGCACACACAAAGGCAGAAATACATGAATAAAAACATATTAAGCGCCTGGTCCTGTTGCCATGGCCACCAGGCTGTATAGATGGCCTCTTACCAGTTACATATTTATTTAAATGTCTATATTCTCAAATTTATTTACCTCACAAAGACCTCAAGGGGGCCAGAAGCCTGTGGGTTGAGCCCCAGGCTCTGTGCCCTCAGGGTACACTTGAAGGGCCACCTGGGGTACAAGCCGCAGCTTCCCGTCATCAGCCACCCTGAGGACACACACATGGCCATCTGTCTGAGACACACCAGGATCGGCAAGATGGCTGAGTGGGGGCTTGCCACCAAGCCTGACGACCTGAGTTCGATCCCCGGGCCGGCACCATGGAAGGAGACCTGACTTCTGCAGGTCTTCCTCTGCCCTCCACACGCATGATAATTAAATGGAAAACGAGGACACTCTGGCTGGCAGGAACCCTGCCCCACTCTGTCCCCCACTCAAGCTCCTGCACAGCCTGTCCTCTGCCAGCTGCCTGGGGACAATTACAGTGTCCCAGACACTGCACAGACAGACCTCATGTTTAATTCATCCTGAGCTAATGACAGCTGTAGGGGAGGGCAGAGACCTGGACCCTGTGCTCTTGGCCAGTGTCCTCAGAGGCGGCTGCCAGGTGGAGGTCTGTCTCCTAACTCACTCTGAGGTCCCCTCCACCTATGGGGCATCTTTTCAGGGGACGTGGGGGGGCTGGGGACAATGCTGTGAGCTGAGGGACACATTTCCCCCTCCCATCTGCACACACACACACACACACACACACACACACACACACACACGTGGGTCATGTGACCAGTGTGTTATTCATACAGGTAGGGCAGCAGGCGGGGCTTCCACCCTGGAGATGGCTGGTGACAGGGAGTGGGCACCGTGTCAGCAGCAGATACCAAGGAGCCAGGGACAGAGGCGGGAAGGGAGAGGACAGATCCCGGGTGACCTCACACTCACACACAATGAATCGAAGAGATGACACCGTGTAGAAGATTTACTCTGTGTAGATCACAGGTGTGTCTGCTTGTGGGGTGTGCACTGTGGGTGTAGTTATCTGTGGAGGCCAGAAGAGGGCATTGGGTCCACAAAGCTGGAGTCGCAGGATGTGGGAACCAAGAGCAGCCTTGTTCCTAAATGAGCTGTCAGCTCCATAAAAGACAAAAGGTCAAGGTGGTGGCGCACACCTTTGATCTCAGCAGGAGGCAGAGGCAGAGGGACCTCTGAGTTTGAGGCCAGCCTGGTCTATACAGCGAGTTCCAGGACAGCCTGAAGGGCTGAAGGGCTATGAAGACATACCCTGTCCCAATATCAACAATTATAAATAAATAAATAAATTGCAAAGACACTTTGGACACTAACTGGCGCACAGTAGGTGCTCCAAACTTGTCTGAAATCAGTCCTGTCTCTCCGGACTGAGAGCGCCCCGAGAGGTGGAGAGGCATGTGAGGTGCGTCGCCTCAGGCTGGTCATATTTCAGTCCCAGGTCGCACCTGAGCAGCTTGGGGGTGGGGTGGGGGTGCTCAGCTCGGTGCACATGGGGCAGCTCCATCTCCGCGGCCCAGAGAGGGCCCGAGCCACGCCTGGGCTGCACAGCTCTGAGAGGCCTGGCGCCTTTCCAGGCTGTGACCCGGGGTTGGCGGCAGCCGACGGGGACACCGGGACGCACCGGTACCCAGTGTTTCCATGGGAACCTGGCAGGGGCCGGGCCGGAGCGATTAGGCGTCCTGAGGAGCAGTCGCTAAAAATAGCGCGCGCCCCACGGGGCTCCTCACCCGGGCTCTGGCTGCCCTCCCCGCCTAGGGGACAGGTCGGCGACGGTCCCCACCCCGCCCGTGCCGCT